TGAAACATTTTTTCATATCTCTTTTAGTTTTTAAAAAAATCGACTGTATAAATTAAAATGGCCCTATACATATATATCTTATGTGTGTAATTATACAATGTGTATAAGTGTATTTTTTATATGTATATAAAATTATATAGTGTATAGTGTATAAACACGCATTTTGATGCCACATTAGATGGGATTATTCCAAAGACTCTTTTATATCGAGCATGGCATCACAATTATCCATAAATTCCCAAGAAACATACCTTGAAATACCACTCGACGATGAGAATTACGAGTTTATGTGCGGTCATGTAATCAATGGAAGAAATTTGTTACCCGCGATGGGTTATCTTGTATTTGTTTGGCAAACTATCGGCATGAGAAAGGGGGAAGTGTACACAACAGTACCAATAATATTTCAAGATGTACGATTTATTCGTGCTACTCATTTGTCCAAAAAGAATGCTGTAAACTTGAAGATCGCGATACTGAAAGGTATTTGTAAGATACATTATCTTAAAGTACAATAGTAAAATCGAAAGAAACGTATATATGTAGATATATGAAATTATTACAGATGGAAAGTTTGAAATAACCGAAGGAGATAGCGTTGTAGTGACAGGTACAGTGCAAGACACATCGAACCCAGAACAGGAGATGGTTCGGAGAGATCTGTTATTACCGGAGATTAACGATGAGGAAGAACTTATGACTGAGCAGGATATCTATAAGGAGTTGAGACTGCGCGGTTATCAGTACAGCGGCTGGTTCCGTGGAATACACAGTGCGTCTATTTCAGGCAACAAAGGACATATCTTTTGGAGGAAAAATTGGGTAGCGTTTATGGATGCTATGCTACATATGTTCATTATCGCAAACGATAACAGAGAACTGTTTATTCCGACAAGTCTTCAGAAATTGGTGATTAACCCTAAGCTTCATTCGAAGATACAAAAGAGTACGATTGGCACGGAAGATACTAAAAATATGGATCAACGTAAGTATTCTTTAATCACTTGTTCAATTGTTTTATTTTCATGAATATCGTGCAAGAGAATCTCTGTGTTATAAGACGTTTTTTTTTATTACAGTAATACCAGTACGAGTATATAAGGAAATAGACACAATTATATCTGGCGGAATAGAGATACGAGGTCTTAAAACAACTCAGATTTCTCGTCGAAAATTAGCTCAAGATACTGTTATCGAGGAGTACGCATTTGTAGCTCATCATGATCGCGCCAACATTTCTTTAGACGAAGCCATTCGGATATCGGCACAACTCGCACTGGAAGATCATCTAATTACCAAAGTGAAAGTCATCGAGTTGGTGGAAGATGTCGACGACGTCGAATTAGAATATCTCTCATCTTCGTTGCTAATTGACGCTTTTGGTGATGAGCCATTGATACAAACAAACATCACTTTATTAACATCACCGAATCGTTTTAGTCCAGCAGACTTGCCGCAGAACATTTTACTTGGAGAACTAAATCAATCATTTGTAGACGATAAAGTCCTAATAGTTGCCGGATTCAACCTTTTGACCAAACAACAAGCTTTGTTAGAACGACTTTTGTCATTTTT